GCTGTGAGCCGGGGCGGAGCCGAGAGGGGCAGGGGAGCCGGTGCGGGACACGGGGGTCTCCCGTGCCCCAGGGCCGTGGGGCTGACCCCTCTTGTCCCTCGCAGACGACTCCTCGTCGGAGAGCTGCAGCGGGAATGGCTCCTCCACGCTGAACCCCTCCACGTCGAGCAGCACGCAGGGCGACAGCGCCTTCCCCGACATGAACGGCAATGGCCCGGCTGCCCCCATGGACTTCGCCGCCTCCGCCGACGACCAGCCCATCAACCTGTGCGACAAGCTGGCGCCGGCCCACGGCCCGCCGGCCTTCCAGGGGGACGGCTGCAGCGCCGACGGGCTGCGCAGCCGCGTCAAGTACGCCGTGAAGGCCACCGCGGAGGTAGGCACCGCCGGAGCGCGGCACGGCACTGCCGGAGCACGGCATGGCACTGCTGGAGTGTGGCATGGCACTGCCAGAGCGTGGAATGGCACTGCCGGAGCACGGCATGACACTGCCGGAGTGCAGCACTGCTGGAGTGCGGCACTGCTAGAGCACAGCATGGCACTGCCAGAGCATGGAATGGCACTGCCAGAGCATGTCATGGCATTGCTGGAGCGCAGCACTGCCAGAGAACGGCATGGCACTGCCAGAGTGTGGCACTGCTGGAGTGCGGCACTGTCAGAGCACAGCGTGGCACTGCCAGAGCGTGGAATGGCACTGCCAGAGTGCGGCACGGCACTGCTGGAGTGCAGCACTGCCAGAGCACAGCATGGCACTGCTGGAGCACAGCACTGCCGGAGCATGGCACAGCCCCTCTGGAGCGTGGCACGGCCTTGCCAGCGCGCAGTATGGGACACAGTGTAGAAGCGGCAGGTGCACTCCCGGCCTCTGAGGACTCTGCTGCTGCCCCATGTCAGGGAAGCAGCCCAGGCAACCTGTCCCCAGGCCGTCCCCACCGTGGGACGTGGCACCCGCCTGTCCTCGGCCCTAGTTAGTCGGGGAAATGGCCCCAGCCTGTTCAGCTCCTCCCTCTGTTGCATTTCGTGGGCAGTGATGGTTGGTGGCTGGAGAGCAGGGCCAGGCTGGGCTGCACCCCTTGCCCTGGGGACAGCGGGTCACCCATACACCTACCAACAGTCCCGCTCCCAGCACCTTCGAGGGCCATCCCACACTCTGGGACAGGGGACGTGCCACCTGGCCAGGGTCAGGCCAAAGCAAATCTGTGTTTCCTGCCTGTTGGGCCACCACGGCGTCCTTAAGGTCACTGTGTCCTTCCTCGAGCCGAGCAGGCAGGAGCTGTAAGGCTGGGGCACGTGCCTGGTGCCAGGAAGCTCCCCGGGTGCCCACGTGGGTCAGGGGTGCAGGGGGAGGAGAAGGTGGCACCCAAGCACGAGGGGCCAGCAGCCGCGGATGTGCCCGTGTCCTGGGCTGGGGCTCCCGCTCCTGACTGCCTGTCCCCTGCAGTCCCCTCCGTACAGCTCCGGCAGCTACGACTCCATCAAGACGGAGGTGAGCGGCTGCCCCGAGGACCTGACTGTCGGCAGGGCTCCCACGGCCGACGAGGACGATGACGATCACGACGACCATGAAGACAACGATAAGATAAATGACTCCGAAGGGATGGACCCGGAGAGGCTAAAGGCCTTCAATGTAAGGACAGAGCCTGGATCGGAGGCACACGGCAGGCCCACTTTGCTGCCGGTTCTCTACTCACCTTCTCTCCTCTTCACAGATGTTTGTGCGCCTTTTTGTGGATGAGAATCTGGATCGAATGGTTCCCATCTCCAAGCAGCCCAAAGAGAAAATCCAGGCCATCATCGAGTCTTGCAGCCGGCAATTCCCCGAGTTCCAGGAGCGGGCTCGCAAGCGCATCCGCACTTACCTCAAGTCCTGCCGCCGCATGAAGAAGAACGGCATGGAGATGGTGAGTGCTCTGACGCCCCGTGCGCGCGTCTGGGAAAGCATCTGTGACCATGGGGTGCTCTGGGCAAATGCCAAGGATTGACTTGGAGTGTCCCAGAGAAGCAGCAGCTCACTGTGACCGTGTGTCCCTAAGCGTGTTTCCGTGTTGTGTCCTCCCAGACCAGGCCCACGCCTCCTCACCTGACCTCAGCCATGGCAGAGAACATCCTGGCAGCCGCCTGCGAGAGCGAAACGCGGAAAGCAGCCAAGCGGATGCGGCTGGAGATCTACCAGACCTCCCAGGTACGGGGCTCTGCGCCCGCGTGGGGACATCTCCTCAGGCCTCTGCAGGGAGCCGGAGGGGACAGGCCCGGCCAGCAGCTGATTTTCTGGGGCCGCTGGCCTGTGAGCACCGCGGCCGCCGGTTTCGCCTTGCCCGGTGCCACGGGAGACAGCGCGGGCGCCACGGGCCGCGCGGCCACGGGGACCCG